AACGATCCATACTTGCATACTTTACTACAATTGATAAAAAGAGGGTTTAATTTGTGTGTTTAGTTATTTTACGCATCAGAAAGTACACTTTAAATTATCTTTATTTTCTCGGATAAAAGGACGAGAAGTTGCCAATGAAGACAAGACATAGGGCCGACCAACAGAGGGTGGCCATGACACCATGGCTAGTGATGGTGTCGGTATTCCTCCTTGGCTGCCTATATTACTTCATTCTATCATGGCAGCATGATGTTGTGCTTCATGCCTAACAACAGAAAACACATCATCGACAGATGTTAAGGGTTAAGTTCTCAAAATATCACTACGTACCTTATCAAATATGTCATCTAAGCCTGTTAGGAAAGCATAAACACAGTCCAATTGGATTTCTTCTCGAAGTGCCTTCAATTCAATAGTACACTCCATCTTGATTGGTCTTCGTTGATCTAATTCTTGCGAAACAACTTTGAGATCAGCATAGTACACACCAATAGGATGCCCTTCCTGACAAAGTTAAAACGACTTTACCTTTAAATCATAAATCTGAGAGATATCAGAACTATCATAATACATTAAAGCAACCTCTTCCCATACTTCTTTATCGGTATGAAGATGGATGAAACATGATGGTAGGATCCATGGAATTAATCAATCACTCCTTTACAATTGCATTCCCAGTTTCCCATGTTTCATACATGGCACTCTATTCCTTGGGTTCCTTGATACTCCCTGTCACGACTTTTTGCCACATCCAGTAATATCTCCAAAACTTTGGACCAAAGAGGATAGTTTGATCCATTGAGTTTCACGGTATTCGGTACGCTTGAAGCATCATTATGTATAACTACGAGACTCGAAACTGAGTTATTGGTTGTTGCACGTGAACTACCCTCCAACTTCAGCCTCAAGCCTTCTTCAATACTTGCCATCTCGACAACACAGCAAAGCACACATCACATCAGCATAATACGACAACTTTGACTCTCTGTGGAAAAAAACTGCAGACTTCCAATACGATAGCAGCAGCACGGTGGAAGAAAACTGTTTTCTGGTTTAAGGTTACGATAACTCGGCTCGGATGCCAAATAGAATTATATAGCTTAATTTTCTTGTATTCCATAACTTTGAATATAAGTACAAACAATCCTTGGTCTCTAAGGAAACAATAAAGATCACAAATATATCCTTCCTAATAAAGGACTCTAATATTTACACAATATTTACATTCCCTTTTTACATATTGACTCACGCCAAAACTCCATCCCTTGGGTGCAAGAAATTTTAAATAAGTGTTAGATAGACGTTGAGATTGTTGTTGTCCATGCGGACATGATGAGAATGGATGGGTGGAAGCGAGTTTGGTGATTGATATGGTGAGCTAATTGTATAAAGAGACGAATCACATCAACCCAAATGGACTAGTCGAATGGATTGAATTGATAAATAATTACATTACAATACTCCAATTGCGATAAAGTAAATTGCGAGAAAATTAAAATTACAATTAAGTGCGAGAAATTTAGATTTACGCTAAGTATGGGAAAATTTTAAATTATGCTAAGTGCGTCAAGTTTAAATTTACGCTAAGCTAAGTGCGTCAAGTTTAAATTTACGCCAAGTGCGAGAAAATTTAAAATTACACTACGTGCAAAAAAAAAAATTGCGAGAATTGAAAACTGATTTGATATATGCAAATTACTCTAATTGCTACATTTTGAATAGAAAAATAAAATAAAAAAGAATACAGAGTGCCATGAATGCCCTTTGATTGCCTCTTGAGTCTTGATTTCTTTCCTTACAAATTTAAAATATAGTTCACTCGATGACTAATATAAGGTCTTTGTCCTCCCTGTCTGCCGCTTCTTTTCACGTTTTACCATCTTGTCCTCATTTTTTTCATTTTTTGTTTTTTCGATAAATCTGTAATCAAAGGAGAAACTTTGCCATTATTTGAATGTTTAACCATAAGGCTTTCTGCCTTAATAATCTAAATAAATAAACATGTGGGATATGCAGAAGAGATTTTTTTTATTTTTATTTTTTGCAAAAATGATTTCTCTATGTTCTATTTATTGTATAAATTTACTGATACACCTTAAACTTGACATGAAGGAAGAAACTGCACATGCACAAAATCAAGGTTGGCGTTGAGAATTTGGGGGCCATAGGCTAGCCTTCAAAGTGAGATCCTAGAATAAACAAGGGTGTTTAGGATTTGGTGTTTGTTTAGGGAATGGGACAAAGGACAAAGGGTTTAGCCGTGTAGGGTTTGGTGGCTTGCAGTCTAGACAGTGCAACAAAAGAAGTAAACAGGTTTTTTTTTCAAGTCAATAAGAACAAGTTGAGTCGCTTGACATTTCACCTTTCACCTACAAAACAAGTTTAAAACAAGTTTGCTGTTTTTTATTCAATTAAATATATAAAACAATTAAATCTTACAAATATTGGGATCAGCAGCTCAGCCCAATAGGCCATTATATTTAGACAAAGACTCAAAATCTATAAAAAAAAAATTATTTAAACTTACACAAAATTTGTAATATTAGTTTATATAATTAAAAAATAAAATAAAAATTACGGCCCCTCCCAAATGGGGGTCTAGGCATCCGGCTATGACCAGCCTTGCAAAATGCCTAGTTATTAGTTATTTTGCATCGCACAGTCCTTGCAATGCAAGTTTCCAAACAATAACGAATTATCTACCTAGCTACTCAGGTATTCACAGCAAAAATTATAACATATTACTTGTAAAAATCCCATGAACAACTCCAACTTTCATCCCTAATCTGCAAATTTGCCCCACCCTCGAAACCCTCGTGAATTTTTGTCCAACACATTGAATTCTTTTATTGGGCTTCTTCCTACCATTGTGGTTAAGTGCGCGCAAGCATGAATGATGAATCCATGTGGGTTCGAAGGTTGGCCGTATCCTCAATGAATATGATCAAACACATTGAATTAATTCTTTTATATTGAAAGAACTCTGTTTCTTTTTTGGTTTACAAGGAGGTTCATCGAACCTAGGACCTATACTACCTCACCCTTAACCACTGGCACTCTCAATTTGGAATCCGATGGACCTAAATCAAAAACCTAAAAGACATGGCATAATTGGATAATATTAGTATTTTTGGTTTATTTATTGTTTCAGTATTTTTTGTATTATACGAGCTACGGTGGACAATGAGAGAGAAAGGACGCGGCAGAGAGAGAGAGCGTATGTGGAGAGAGGTCTAATTAGGGTGTAGTATTCCTCCTTCGCAGTGCCTTTGTTAGAAATTTTAGAATATTTCAAATACAAATCGATTTATTTCCTAAAAGTTATGGTTATTAATATTGCCACTTAATGGTTGATATTTATCACCGTTTCTATAACAGCCACCAACCAATCAAATTTGCAGAAGCACCAAATTATTGATCGGAGCTTGCTCACCCGAATTCTATGTTACATTTTTTGATGGAACCGACCGGGAGACCGACACGCGACCTTCAGTTGAAACCACAGAGATTTCTGCAGATTCCACCCTTTGGTCAAACCACAGAGATTTCTTCGTTTCTGGCTTCGATTTAATTCGTTGCACTGCAGAAACAAGTTTCTTTGATTTTTCTCAACTGGGTTTTGTGAAGATCAAGTTTTCACCTTTTGCGTAGCATCAGAGCTTGGTTTTCAACTTTCTGACTGGCAATTTCAACTCCACCATCAGGGAAACCACCGGAATTCATTCAGAGTTCGCCCACACCAAATACATCGGAGCTTGCTCACTCAGCAAGCAAAGAGTCCATGTCCATGCTTTACAAGGGAGTCAGTGCAGCCAAAAACCCAGGTGAAATAAAAAAACCCAGTTTTGAGTTTTTAATCCATTGAAACCAAAACCCAGATGAAATCTTTTCCAGTTTTGAGTATCATCAAAATCAAATAACAATTAAGCCAAAAACCCAGATAATGTCTCTCCACGACAGGAACGGTGTGACTTGGATTCGATCCGCCACCTCTGGTTTTCCGTTCAAAAGCTGCTTGATGCTAATCGGAGGTGGGGATGGAGAAAGAGGGAGAGAAGGAATACCTTAGTTGAGAAGGAGTTCCCGATGTGTAGATGCAGGTCGCGAGATGGTTGGAGCAGTTGTTGTGACGTTTTGTTGTGACGTTTGTGAACCCGACTAAATAATACCAAGGTATTGGACGGGATAGGCAACCGGGACATCCATCATCAGTGAAAATTCTTCAAACTCTCGCTTAGGAACAGACTCATAATCCTGCGTATAAAAAACAGTGATTTCATAACTCCACTTAAATCGATATCCGTTCAGAAACCCTTTCGGTTTGCATAAAGGAGTAGCCTCGGAGTCGTGATCAGCATCCGCAAGACCTTCACTTTCGTCCTCCGGTGTTGCGTCCTTACAAGGCTAAACATCATCAAACATGACGCTCCAGTAAGCCGCCTTCTTTCTTTTGTCGGTAGGCGTAATCGGCTGGACAAGAACCTGCATCCGACAAAATAGACGTAGCATAAGTAAGGACAACCAATTGCTAATAAAAATTCAGTAAGTTTATTAAAATTAGAATGAACACATACCAATTGTTGAGAAAAAAGACCCCTCTTCAGCTTGTGATGGGACGGATTTAAGCTGGTGTCCCAACGGCAAATCCAGGGCAATAACTCAGGGTTATCTGTCCGCACCCTTGCATAGTTTTTGGTCTTCAAGTACTGCAAAGTTTCAAACAACCAGATCTACAAAATTTAAAGTGATAATGTAAATAACTTGCAATGAAAATGAATGCAAAGGTACGTTCAACTTATAACAACAAAATAAAAGAGAAATTACCTGAAAAGCATACAGAAACCCTCTCAAGTTATAGAAGTCACGGTAACAATATGTAAGCAAAGGGTACCAGTTCAGGTTCAGAATGAAAAAAAAAGATGGATGGATGGGTATTGATCAACATTCATTTGTTTACATTATTATTTCCTACTCTCTATTTTCATATTTCATTGGCACGAGGATTATGGTTCATTAATTCAAGTGATAACATATCATCGATTATGTTTCATTATTCCTACTCTCTATTTTCATTATAAAGAAATAAAAGTTACATCGTGTGCTTTATAAATTTTGATCTCAATATTTTATAGGTATGAGTATGAATTTAATCAAGATATTGTTGAAGAAATTGGAAATCGACTAAATTGCACAGCAATGAATGTTCCTGACCCTGCAGTTGGAATAAAAGATCATGTGAATAGTCTAGCTGTTTGGTTACAAGATGGATCTAATGATGTTGATGTAGCTGTGATCTGGGGGATGGGGGAAATTGGCAAGACCACCATTGCGAAAGCTGCTTATAACCTGACCTTTCACGGATTCCCGCGTAGCTGCTTTCTCATAGATGTTACCTAAGCAACTTCACTTGATTCACCACAATCTGTCCATCGTTTCGTTTGCTTGCACAAAAAGTTTCTGTTTGACATCCCAAAGGAAATATACAACATGGATAAAGGAATAAACAAGATTCAACGCTGTGCGTGGGAGAAAAGTTCTTATTGTTTTTTCTGGTCTGAACGACTTAGACCAATTCAATGCAATTCTTGGAATGCGAGAATCATTTTATCCAGGAAGTAAAATCACCATGACAACTAGACTACATGAAATATATCAAAGGCTCGCGATCAAGTGCCTGAAATGGTTAAAGTTGAAGGTCTAGATAGCCTTGCATCGCTTAAGATCTTCTGTTGGCTTGCCTTCAAACAAGACTATCATGTCCGAGGTTACGAGTGTTATATAGCCACTGTGGAGGGAACCCTTTGGCTCTTCAAGTTCTGGCATCTTCTCTCTTTGGAAAAACTCTAGGGGCATGGAAAAGTGCAGTCCAAAACTTGAGCCTGATTACTGGCGATCCCAAAATTCAAAATAATCTCAAAATCAGTTTCTCTTCTATATCGGATCATGACAAAAGATTATTCCTCCATGTTGCGCGTTTCTTCATAGGAAAGGACATGGATTTCACAGCTACAGTAGTGGACTCGTGTGATTTTTTGACACGGTTTGGAATTCAAAATCTAGTTGATAAATGTCTAGTTGACGTTGGCCTAGACAACAAATTGTTCATGCATCCATTACTTCGAGACATGGGAATGGGGATTATTCGCGAACAATCACCCGAGGACCCTGGAAAGTTAAGTAGAGTGTGGCAAAACGATGCCTATAATATTTTGAGAAAATTAACTGTGAGTAACATACTCTCCCTATGTATGTACTCCTAATTGTCCTGTGAATGTAAACTAGTAAATAACTCACCCCATGTTTTTATTGGTTAGCAGGGTACAGAAACTATTAAGGGCCTCACGATTAATCTTTCCACTCAGGAAAGTAGTGACTTTTCAAGACAGAAATGGCATAATATCTTCTCCTCGGAACCAATGAATACTTCCTCAACAACTCATTCATCAAATGAACCAGCTTTCAAAGCAGAGGCATTTAGAAAAATGCACAATCTTGAATTTCTCCTGCTCGATAATGTCAAAATCAATGGCGATTATGGAGATTTTCCAAAAAATTTAGTATCGTTGTCTTGGCGAGGATTCCCTTTACAATCAATACCAGCCAATTTTTGTTTGGAATATCTAGTTGCCCTTGAGTTGCAGAACAGCAGGCTGCAACATGTTTGGGAGGGAACTACGGTACGATTCTCTCTCTCTCTCACACGCACACACAAAAATTAAGAGATCGTTCATCATTATATATTTGGAGAAACTAACTACTTCTCTTCATACAGTTTCTTCTAAGACTGAAAATCCTGAATCTTAGTGGTTCACATGGCCTTGAGACAACCCCTGAATTATCTATCAGCATTTCCTAACCTTGAGAGATTAATTCTTGAAGATTGCATAAAATTGGTTGAAATTCGTGCCCTTGGACACTTGAAGAAACTGAAATTCGTGAATCTTAGTGGTTCACGTAGCCTTGAGACAATCCCTGAATTTTTTGCATTTCCTAAATTTGAGGCATTAATTGTTCCACGTTTGGACTAAATTGATTGAATTGCTGGACACTCAAGCAACTTTTGCCCTGCGGACATCTCTTGAGGTGGTTCTTATTGGCCGGTCAACCCTAGAAGTTTTTCCAGGCTTCATTTGCCTTAGGATTTGAGATCCCCACACAACTCTCCCTGCGTAAGTGAGCAATTTGAAGGTGCCTACAAAGCCTTGCGTAGGCTCTTAGGCTCTCTTACCAAATTAATTAATTTTAGGCATGCCACTACTAGCCAAGAGCAACATATTGTTTTAAGTGTCATATAGGTCATTTGCTTGCGCCACAAGTAAACTGCCTCCTTATCAAAAGATCGTTCTTATGGAGGAGTTGAGTCCATATTGAAGTCTTTTCTATGCCTTGAAGACAAGGACTTTATATTTCTCTTGTATTGAATGCCAAAACAATGACCACAAACTGATCAGTACTGATCCAAACCAGGTTGCAATCCTTGTAAGAAAAGTAAAGGGAGAGTGCTTAACGAATGCTGCCAGAGTACTTCTCTGAAGAGGTAACTTTCTTCGAAGATTACTCAATAAGAATAGCGTCGCCATCTATGGGATGAAATAGCAACTGCTAACCCTGGCCCATGCACAGTTTTTGGCGCTTACAAAACAATTGCTACATCTACACGTATCCTCCTGTAATCACCATTAAATTAAGATGTAACACAATTTAAAAAACATGAAATCATTAAATCACCGACTGTGATCAATCACAACAGGTGAACTGAGATCACCTTCTAAAGTTGGAAATGGAATAGGGGTATGATATCCACACCCCATTTTACTTCTCATACACCTTTTTAATTTTCGGCCGTCAGATCGGATGAATTGAAGAAAATCAATGGACATAAATCATCAAAGGGTGTGTGAGAAGTAAAATGGGGTGCGTAGATAGCACACCCCAATGGAATAACGTAAATAACAAATAAACTGATTCAATATTCTGAAAAACAGACCCTAAAAACAGTTAATTCAGTAGATCTAAGTTCCTAATTGAACCCACAAACTACAATTAATCTAGAGTAGTTTAATCCAAGAAAAAAAATTAAAATTTCTTCAAATCAGAACGAGAGCCAAGCTTTCTGGTATTAAATTTCTTCCAAACAAAATGGAATTCAGCTTGGATTTTCTCAAGAATTCCACGAAAAATATATACGTTTGGTGATAATCGTACATGAGAATGAGATTCATACAATATTTTCATATCTTGCATAAAAGTTAGAAATTAAAAAAAAAAATAGAAAAATAGAAAAGGTATATCCTGCCGCTGCTCTTGAAATGCAAAAAACAAAAAATAAAATAAAATAAATCAGATCTTAAATAGCAAACCAATATAGAAGCAATTTAATAATTACAAAAGAGAAGTCCACCATGCATGAAATAAAAATTAGAAATTAAACAAAAAAAATACAGAAAGAAGAAAACGTACCCCAACTTCGCCTGCTGCTCTTTAAAAACCAAAAATCTTAGATCCTAATACCAAGAAAATACATAAGCGATTTGATAACAAAGAGAAATCTGAAATCCAAAAAAAAAACCACAACCTTCTCCGGGTACAACCTGCGGACAAAAACGATACCCATTATAACTTTTTGAGATAGATTTTAGAGCGAGAAGAGAGAGAGGACCTCGTGAAGCAATTATGGTAAGCGCCTCTGAGATTTGCACAGGGAGAAGCGAAAGATTTATAATATACCACTAGGTTGATTTTAGTTGGTGATTTTAGTTGCATCGTGACTTGACTTCTTTCAAATGTGATTGTGGACTGAGGAAGGACTTTATAATTTATACCTCTAGGTTGAAGACTATCTCTTATGGTGAGCATTTTCATTTTGTGAAATTATATTTCATTCGAGAGTAGTTGTTTTCCAACATTAAGTCCTTACAACGTATGTTCGGACTCACTAAGTAATTTGCCAGCACTTCAGGTAGACTCCCCACATTTAAGGTATTTTCGGAAGTCAATAACCTTTCAATACCTTAAAATTCACCATAAGAGAATTTAAAACCGTCTAGTGAACTAAGTAATTTGCTAACACTTCAGGTAGATTACCTCACATTTAAGGTATTTTTGGAAGTCTCTAACCTTTCAATACCTTAAAAATCACTATAAGAGAATTTAAATCCGTCTAGTACTAGTAAACTAATCCACTTCATATTTGTTATCTATTTCTAGAAGCAAATTACTTTTTTCATCTTCTTTAGTATATATCAACGCCATAATCTCCTCACATTGTGGTTGCTATTCAATGCTATCAAATAAATCAGTCTTCATGCTTAAAGAAGTACAAAGATAGGATCTCTTTTTCTATCTTCATTTCTAGGCTTTAAAAACTCACTGCCTTCTTAGGATAAGTATGTCTTGGCACTTTACCATAGCCTTTGAACTTTGAGAGTTTTCCATAGCTAAACTCTCACTCGGAATACTTAACCCTTTGTTGTAGGCAACTCAATCACCATGACTAAGGCCCCGTTTGGGATTGAGGTGATTTTAAAAAAAGCCACTGTGAAAAAAAGCTGAGGGTTATTTTTGTGTTTGGTAAACTGAAAAAAAATGGCTTATTTTGGAAGCTGCTGTGAGAATAAGCTGAAAATCAAAGGAAAAGCTGAAGCTGCTATTTGCTGCTTTGAAAAAAAGCCAGTTTTTTCAAAGCACACAGAGCTACAGTGCTCCTTTAATGAAAAGACACACTATCATCCTGATTTTTTTTCCAAAAGCACTTTCACAAAAAAGTTTACCAAACACTCTACTGGCTTTATTTCACAGCCGCTTATTTTCACAGCACAGCCGCTTATTCTCACAGCAGCTTTTTTTCAAAGCACAGCAATACCAAACCAGCCCTAATATGGACGAAGGCAAGACTCTTTCCTTGGAAATCACACAAACAGCACACTAATTAGTAGTGAAGTTCTTTTCCAATTATCATCTTTTCTAGTACTGCACTGCAAATCTTTCCGTGAACGAGCCAACTTGCAACTAAGGCCGAGCGAGTAAAGAGAAGTTGGTGGTTTTAGTTGCTTGTGATTTGACATCTTTCAAATGTGATTGTGGCCTAAGGAAGGAATCTGTCCCGGTCAGTCATAGGTTCTCCATGCCTTGGGTGCAACGACATTATAATTGGTGCCACTAGGTTAGATCACGGTTTCTCATAGTGCGCACATCCATCTTCTGGAATTATATTTCATTCAAGAGTGGTTCCAACATATGGTGCGCGCTTCCATCCTCAAAATGTATGTTCGGACTTATTGACGAGTCATTATTATACTATATATTTTACCCTATTTTTAGTTATAATTT